ACCCGAAATTGTCGGCCGCTACTTTCGCCTATAGGGTTCCGGATTTCTACGTACTTATATATATATTGGACTGACTACGAGTATTTTCATTATCCAAGTAGTAGGGAGCCGTTCCCCGATACTTAGTGGTCAAACCCGATATTTTGTAGTTCTTAGTTGACATTGCGAATATTACCGCTCTTTCTATCTGAAATACCCGTCATTATCATATATCCGCATACCGCTCACTTTCCCGATGTTCACTATCGCCATTCCCGCTAACCCGCTAAACCCGCACCCGAAACCCGCTAACCCGAAACCCGAAAACATCGGACCCGACACTTTGGCATTGGACATCGTAGATATACCTTCAGACTTTGTTTCCCACGCTCGGACTTTTGACCGTTTTATCATTTCACTAACTACAGACCATTCCAAATAGCTAACCCCTCGGGTCGAATGCACTTGTCTTGCAAGTATAGCAGACTAGGCTGTGCACAACCACAACTTTTTATATTGCTGGCTACTTACTTTGTGTAGTGCCCAGCAATTGTTGTATCTCTACAGCATTGTGGAGAAGTAATATTGACTGGCCAGCAAGAAAGCTAGAGCACTAATAAATCCTACTGAGTGCGAGTCATGTGTGTCAAAACGAGAGGATTGCTATAAAGCACTTCCTTCAAGTATGGTGCAAAGAGAGCAGATGCGGAATGGAAAAGAACTAAGGCAATCCTGGAATGCAAATATGCTGATGAGAGCGAGACTGGAACCACAGGTCTGATGAGTGTATGATGTGGAGTGAATGAAGACAAGAGGAAACTAGATAAAGTGCAGTTGTGCAAAGTAGTGGCTAGGTATAGATGAGGTTCAAGGCCGAGGTATAACTAGGTATGGAATGCTAAGTCAAAACCTGAGAGCGGTGTAAAGATACAACAATGGCTGAGCACAACACACAGTAAGCACTCAGCCGAATATAATAGTTGTGGTCTTGCACAGCCTAGTCTGCTATACTTGCAAGACAAGTGTGTTTGATCCTGTCATATCCCGCATTCCGGACCCAGACCAATCACACACATCATTTCCGGACTTCTGGATCCGGCCGACTTCTATCTATCGTCCGGATCCGACCCGCATCTATCTTCCGTGCCTAATCCCTTTGTACGTTCCTTCTCCAGTTAGACTATACTCATTTTCCGTACCTTGTTTCATTTCTGCCTTTATTTTCCTATGTCTTCATCTCCGTCTTCATTTACTATTTTCTGATAGACTAGTGTTTGACTTGTCTATATGCTCTGTCCACAGCCTCGCATAGCTTCGGACTGCGCAGACTGATTCTCTGTTAAGTCCTCAGTAGTATATAAACCCTGTAGAATCTTTGTACTTCCTCAGTTCGAATATTATCTTAGACTCTGCTCATTCTCTTCTCCATCCAACTTGAGTTTCTCCTCTCGTCGTCCTCTGCTAGTCTTAGGATCGATTCCCATAGACTTCTCACCTCCGCCTCTACCTCTGGTAGTCCTCTGCTGTTTCCTTCTAGTTCGGACATTGTCCGGATTAGTCTTATCCCTCGTTCCCGAACGTCCGCCGGAATTCCCATGCATCAGACATCGGACTCCGGACTCATCCGACAACCTTCGGACATAGTCCAACAGCCCTCGGAAGTTAGGGGCACGTACTCGGGTAAGGGGCGCAGCGCACGAGCTGAAGCCAAGCCCTTTGGATCCGACCCTTGAGCACGTTCTTAACAGTATATTCGAACTCACACCTGTTACGACTGGGGTATGTCGAGCTGTCTTAGTCCGAGTGGACTGAGATTCGGCGAGACAGACGTGGTTCTTCTCTCGAGTGAGAGGTCAAAGGTTTCTGGCTAAGGCAAGTATCGGCGACTTCCTTAGAATAGTGGTTCTTAGATAGCAAGGTTGGAGACCTTGCTAAAGGACTTGTTCCAGGTAAAACCCAGTAGATTAAAGTGAGGAAATACATGTGGTACGCTATGTAACTATATAGCGAGAGTTCAAGCGGAGACTGTAAGTGCGTATCAAGATAGAAGGCGGACAGCCCGCTTGGTAAGTGATAAGAGATAACAGATAAGAGATAGTAACCATGGTGCGGACAGCCCGCTTTGATAAGAGATAGTGATCTAAACATAGCGGTGGTTACTAGTGCGGAAGGTTAGCTTGGCGATGATATGAGTGAGGTTCTGGAAGGTGATTGGTCGTTCGTTAAGAGCCGTGTGCATGTACCATTGTCCAGTATCGAAAGAGAAGCGAAGAGAATGAATATACCGTAACAACACCTTACCAAGTATACTTACATTCATGGCACCTACAACCACTCAGACAAACCTCCGCGCAGCGGGCTTAGTAACCGCCCGATGCGACTCTACTCCCATAGCCGATGCATTCACTAGCTTCTCACAGCGTCACGCTAGCGCACAGGGCACTGCATCCAGCATCTCTCAACTCATGAATCGTCCACACCCAGAAACCCCAACTCGCACACCGGCCGGATTCCTCCTGGAAAACGAAGATACTCCAGGCGGAGATCCACCGGATGACGGGGGAGGTGACCCAGACGATGAACCTCCAGAAGACCCAACTGACGATGAAAACGAAGGTCTTGGTCCACAAGACTTGGTCTTCCTTCGCCTTTCTCAGGCAATCAATAACCTGGCGCGTAACAACCGCCGGTCCGCTATCCCTGATGACTCCAAAATCAAAGTCCGAGAACCGGACACCTTCGATGGCACTGAGCCCCGGAAGCTCCGGGTGTTCTTTGTCCAATGTGAGCTTAACTTCCAAGCTAAGCCGAAGTCTTTCCGCACCAGCCGCACTAAGGTCAACTTCGCGCAATCATACCTCAAGGGCATGGCCCTTGAATGGTTTGAGCTGGACCTCCTTTCGGATGATCTCACGGATCGTCCAGAATGGATGGATGACTACTCCAAGTTCATGTTAGAACTCCAAACTAACTTCGGACCCCATGACCCGGTCAGAGATGCGGAAATGCAGCTGGAACAGCTCTATATGCGCAACAGACAGCGCATCAACAAGTATGTTGTAGAGTTCCAACGGCTCGCTTCCCAAGTCCGTGGTTGGGGCGACGGAGCTTTGCGCCATCAGTTCTACAATGGACTTCTGGCTCGCATCAAAGATGAAATCAGTCGTCAAGGAAAACCCACCACTCTGTCCCAATACAAAACCCTCGCCCAGACTATTGATGCCCAATACTGGGAACGCAAGGGAGAAGTGTCCCGTGAAACCAAACCCTCTGCATCCGCCCCTCCTGCTAAGCAATCAGCTCCGACCTCCGACCGGAAAGAGTATTCTGGCAGACGGTCCAGAAATGCCTCAGCTTCCTCCTCCGCCAAACTTCCGGACTTGACGTCCAAGCTCGGAAAAGATGGTAAACTCACCTCCGAGGAACGCCAGAGGCGCATGGAGAAGAAGCTCTGCCTCTTCTGCGGCGGACCCGGTCATACTGCCCGGGACTGCCTAAAGTCCAGTTCCCGTGCAGCCAAAGGTCGTGCTAGCACGGTGACTCCGGAAGCCAAACCGGAGGTCTCGGAAGAGACAAAAAATTAGTCCACAACCCTCTTGACTCCATGCGGGACAAGGGTTGTGTTGACTCAACCTGCGCAATGGAGCTACGTCTCAATGCTGTTTCTCTTTCCGATCTGAACTCGCTTATGCCAAATATCTCTATTTCTACTTTTCCCGATATCTCTCTGTTCCCAGCTCTAGTAGATTGTGGTTCCTCCCATTGTTTTATAGCAAGCAAACTAATCCGAGAAAATAACATTCCAACCTATGCAATTCCTCCGCTTCCGCTCCATCTGTTTGATGGTACTTCCAATGCCACTATTACCGAGGCAGTAGATTTACCGATCTGGTTTCCGACCGGTGTCGTTACCTCCGAAACATTTTATGTTACTCCTTTGGACTCATCCTGTTCCATCGTTCTAGGATATAGCTGGCTCACCCGACACAATCCATTGATTGACTGGGTAAAGGGCAGCATCGTTTTCCGTCCGATTCCTCATGGAGTGCCTCTGACCCCTCCGACCTCACTTCCACCGGCTCCGGCGGAAATCCCTTCCATAACCTCGCTGAGTCCCTCCGCTGATAACACTGTTCCCAATACTATCCCTTTGTGTATGGAAGCAACTGTGACGCATCACACGGCCTCGGTTGCATTGCTAATTCACCCACCGGTGACGCATCACAGGCGGTTGGTTGCTAGTCAAAAGTATGTCACAAAATCAATATTTTGAAAAAAAAATCTATGAGCTCCATCTACTATGAGGCATCTACCTGCACCCATATATTCTCATGGTCTCCTGCAGCCACCAGCCCATGCAAATCACTTCTCTGTACATTGACAACACAATATTTTGTAGTATCAGCAGCAAGAACATTAGTGGAGTTGAAGCCCAGAGCATCCTCAATAACTGCGCTACAAGGGATGTCTGCATCATCATCACCAGCTTCGGCGTCGAGCTGAGATGCAGGTGGCTCATCTTCAAGGCCATAGACAATGCCAGTGCATTCTTCAATCTCGTCACAAAGCTTTGGGTGCGTACACAGGTATATGTTAAGTGCTCCTTGTGCCTTTTTGCTTGTGAGACACTCTGCAGAGATATTCCACTCCTTCATAGTGCACCTCTCCCATGCCTGTTGCATATGGTACATGTCAGTATTCAAGACTTTGAAAATCGATACAAATTGAAAGAACCTTCTTTACGAGTTCGCAACCGAGTGGACCAGTCATAAAATCATAGACAGACACGATGTTAGCAACTGACGCATCTCGTAATGTAGGTAACGATGTTGTGAACTTGACTTGTTCTGGGGTAAGGCCATCTTTTATCTGCTGTTGATGCGAGTTGACAAGGAATTGAATCTGGTGCTGCTTCAAACGATGCTTGATAACACGATTAAGTCCAACATCGGCAGGTTGAAATATGCCTGTACCTGTAGCATAGACCATCAGCATTTGGTGGCTTCAGTTCTGCGAGGAATTCACTTACAATTTGCAGGTACAAAGCATAGAATGATGTATGGGAAAGTCTCAAAGACATATGTACGAAACTCTTTGCCAGCATGCACGGGATAGCAGTTAAGGTAAATAATGGAAACCTGGTCATTATCGAGATCAGGGTCTGCTTCAATGACAGAACAGCGGTAAGGTTCAAAAACATTTTCGACCCACTGTGCAACACATGCCATGAATAATGAGTGAAAATTCTACTGAATAGAAACGTACTTCTTTCATTGTTTTTAGCGTGCTGTAATGGCTTCCCTTCTTATCACTCTTTGCAAAGGCAAAATCAAAGCCTCGTTCCTTTGCTTCCATCATCCCAAGGGCACCCACTGATGGCAAAGATCGCTCTGAGGCTCCAGACCACACCTGCTGGAAGGGAAGGAATGTGCCTTCAGGAGTGCTTGCCACCAGCAATGTGTATGCACGCTTCTCGTCTTTCGCCACAATGTCAACTTGTTCTGATCCACGCTCTGCGAAGGTTGTACCACTACTTGGAAGGATGTAATTACCAATTTGGTCGAATCCAACAAGTAGCTAGCAGCACAAAATCAATGAATTGTGACACAGTTTGATCACAGTCTCTTGGTACTTACTTTTGGAGGAACTGTGTGCCATTTCATGATGTAGACGAGTCGGAAAAAAGCCTCCTCACATCTGTCCTCAGCATCCCCAGGAATTTTAGCGAAAACACGTGTCCCTTTTCTGGGACTCCAATCAAGCACACTTTCAAGAAAAGCACGAACAAAACTCTGGCACATCAAAATTAGTTTCAAGTCCTGGTTACAAGTCTGAGTCTGGTACCAACCTCAGAACACTTGAATGTCATAAGTACTTGAGGCACTTCGTCATTGAGAACTGCTAACATGATGGCCCTTGCAACGATAACATTGACAGCAAGTCCTGATTTGCGCAGTGCCTGCAATTTCATGGTAATTAGCTTCACAACATCAGGATACTTTGCAAGAACCCCTGATTGCCCTGACCCAGCCAAAGCATGACGACGTTGAACATTTTCAAGGGTGGTTTTGGACCAGTATCGTTTTGAATCCTTGTCTATCCATTTCTGGACAGTCCCTTTGTTCAGATGAGAGAAAAGGTTTGGGTGGTCCCGAGATAAGCCCTTGACAATAGCTTGGGGTGACCAGTCATATTTTCGTGCAGCTCCATCAATATGGACCCATAGTAGGGGATGGTACCAATTTGTCCTCTTGTGCTGCTCTTGCTTGTACCACCTTTCATTCCATTGCGGATCTCCTTCCACTGAGAGTCAGACCGAGATAGTGCAATTACATCTGGGGTACTGAGAGTAGCTGATGATCTGGAATCATCATGGAGAACCTTGGTACGTCATTTGCATGAAAATTATTTTCACAGATGGCTCTGAACTTACTGCATTGATGGACTGCTTACTCCCACCTGACTGCTTCATTGCTGCATTAATAGCCCTCTTTCGTTCACGGTGACGACATTGTCTTTCAGTTGCTCCTTCACGTTTGTTCCTCTTTCTTTCTGCTTCTTCTGCTTCCTTCTCAAGTTTCTCCTCCTCCCCAAATTCCCGTGTCAGCTCATCCAGTCTCTTCCATTGCAGCACCTTTTCCTCTTCAGTTGTGAGTGGCTTCCAGCGGAGATCATCAAAGGTAAGCTGCTGAGTCCCTATAGAACTCCAGTTTGATGGAGCTGGTTTCGGATGGCTGACAAGTTCTATGTTGACCTTCAGGCGATGATGCTGATCAAAAATAGTCCGTTTTTCGTCTATATCTTCTGACGATGACTCTGAGAGTATGCTAATGGCATCTGATGCCTCCCCTCCTCTAACGATGGAGTCTAGCTGGGCTTTAGCTCGTTTTGCTGGACCAGAACTGGCTTCATTCATTGATGCATCTAGTGCTTTTTTTCGCCTAGTATTAGTACGGTTAGTTTTTGATTTAAATTTCAAACTGACAAAACACACTTTGTAGGTATCTTGGCTCCCTGCAATTTTGCAGCTGATATGAGCCGTTCGACCCAAACTTCACGCAGGAATTCATGCTCGCCATCATTGGACAAGTGTTTCACAGTAAGTTTCAACATTTGGATAAGCTCGCGAAAGCGTTGCCCTCGCTCATGGAACACAATAGTCCCTCCCGGCGCCAGCTTATGAGTCTCGAAGCAAACTTCAACATTCCTATTGAAGGCAAACCAAACACCTTCTTCCTCGACGAACTCTTCATCAAGTCTGAATTGATACTGTGATGTTGGGAAATCAAGGGGCAGAGATTCTGGCAGGTTTTCAAGAAGATCCGCAAGATGTTGGATTCGAGAAATGAGCTCTGAAGATGGGCCTTGTCGAGGCTCATGTGTTATGGGCTTCGTCATTTGAGTAGTACTACTGACGTTGTTACAATTTTTCTAATCCATCCACCAATAAATGACACCATTGTGCATTCAATGTTCCGCATCTCCGCAACTACAGATACACTCTGACAGATCTATCTAGGCCTTTGTAAGGGCCGGTTGCTATTTTTCAAAACATCACACACCTGTCAGATGAGGTTGCTAACTCTGCGCATGTGGCTGAGTGTCACACTCGAGCTTTGGTTGCCTCCATACACAAAGGGATAGTATTTCCCTAATCAATGCAGTTGCCTTTTGCCGGGCCTGTAAATTAGAGGGATCGGTCTAGTTCAGTATTTTCGTTCGTCCGTCCAGTGTCAATCTCCGCTCCGCTACACTCTCCTCCGAACCTCCGAACCTATCCGGAATCCCTTCGGAATATCACGAGTACGCGGATGTCTTTGATAAAAGCAAAGCCGGACAGCTCCCTCCCCATCGTCCCTATGATCTTAAGATCGATTTGGAGGAAGGAGCGGCTCCACCCCTTGGCACCATCTATTCCCTTTCTCCGGTTGAGCTTGTAGCTCTTCACAAATTCCTTGATGAGAATATTGCGACCGGACTTCTTCGTTCCTCGTCCTCTCCGCACGGAGCCCCTGTCCTGTTTGTCAAGAAGAAGGATGGCTCCCTACGCCTCTGCGTAGATTTCCGAGGACTCAATAAAATCACAAAGAAAGACTGCTACCCTCTTCCCCTCATTTCCGACCTTCTCGATTCTCCGAGCCGCGCTAAAGTTTACACTAAAATCGACCTCCGGTCCGCTTACCATCTAGTCCGGATGGCGGAAGGAGACGAGTGGAAAACTGCCTTCCGGACACACTATGGCTCCTATGAATGGTTGGTTATGCCCAAGGGTCTCACCAATGCTCTGGCGGCTTTCCAGCACTTTGTCAACACCATCTTCACCGATATGCTTGACATATGTGTTATTGTGTATCTCGACGACATCCTCATTTATTCCGCAGACCTTGCATCTCACAAACAACATGTCCTTGAAGTTCTCCAACGCCTCCGGAAGCATCGTTTATACGCTAAACCGGAGAAGTGCGAATTCCATTCCGACTCCGTAGAATACCTCGGCTACCTCCTATCTCCGGCCGGCCTTACCATGTCTTCAGACAAAGTCCAGACTATCTGTGACTGGCCGGAACCCCAGAAAGTTAAGGATATTCAATTGTTCCTCGGGTTCACCAATTTCTATCGTTGCTTCATTTTTAACTACTCGGACATTGTAGTTCCGCTTACATGGCTCACTCGCAAGGATGCTCCCTGGAATTTCTCCGAGGATTGCCAGAAATCTTTCGAAACTCTCAAGAAAGCCTTCACTACTGCTCCGGTGCTTACGCACTGGATGCCGGATGTTCCTATCGTCGTTGAGACGGACACTTCTGACTATGCTATCACCGGAATACTTTCTATAGTATGTCCGGACCAGGAGCTCCGCCTGGTTGCCTTTTACTCCCGAACCCTTTCGGCTCTGGAACTCAACTATGACACTCATGATAAAGAACTCCTAGCTATCTACGAAGCTTTCTGGTCCTGGCGACACTACCTTGAAGGCTCTGCCAAGCTGATAGATGTCATCACAGACCACAAGAACTTTGAGTACTTTGCTACCACAAAACTCCTCACCCGCCGCCAGGCCCGCTGGTCGGAATACCTCCATCAGTTCAATCTCATTATCCGTTTCCGACCTGGAAAACTCGGAGCAAAGCCCGACTGCCTAACTAGACGTTGGGACGTCTACCCCAAAGAGGGGGATAAGGACTACGCTCAAGTTAATCCACACAACCTCCGGCCGATATTTACCACAGAACAGCTCGCTTCGTCCCTCCGGGCATCACACCTAGCAATTCCGGTGCTCTGGGCAGCTGTACTAATGGATGTCGAGCAACTTCATAAGGACATTCTGTCCGCCCTTCCCCATGACCCTATTGCTTCCAGTCATCTTCCGGATCCGCCGGACCCGAGATGGACAGTGGATGAAAGTGGTTTCCTCCATTGTGACAGCCGTATATACGTTCCAGAATCCAATGACCTCCGTCTCCAAGTACTCCAGAATACACATGACCACCCACTATCCGGACATTTCGGTCAGAACCGGACCCTGGAAATTATCCGTCAGGAGTATACTTGGCCCGGAATCCGTGCATATGTCAAGGACTATGTCAAGTCTTGTACAACCTGTGCCTGAGCCAAAGTTCTGAGACACAAACCATACAGACTATTGAAACAACTCCCCATCCCCGAGAAGCTGTGGAATTCTACATCCATGGACTTCATCAAACAACTCCCTGATTCCTCTGGCTTCACAGCCATCCTGGTAGTCATAGATCGACTATCCAAGCAATCCATATTCATCCCAACCTACAACACCATCACCTCTCCGGACCTCGCCCGGTTATTCCTCCTCCATGTGTTTTCCAAGCACGGAGTTCCGTCTCATGTTACTTCCGACCATGGTATGGAATTCGTTTCCCACTTCTTCTGGTCGCTCGGAAAAGCACTTGACATGATCCTCCACTTCACTTCTGGATATCATCCGGAAGGTGACGGACAAACCGAGCGAGCTAACCAAACCCTAGAACAATACCTCCGGATCTACTGCAACTATCAGCAGGATAATTGGTTGGAACTGTTACCCTTGGCCGAGTTTGCTTACAACAATGCTCCTAGTGCTACTACCGGAGTTTCACCATTCTTCACCAATAAGGGTTATCACCCGAACATTTCCATACATCCAGAGCGTGATCTCTCCTCCGCCTGTGCCCGGGATTATGCTATAGATCTAGACGAGCTTCATCAATTCCTCTGAGAAGAAATGTCCCATGCCCAAGAACGATATCAGGGACCCGCAGACGCTAGATGAAAACCCGCTCCGGACTTCAAAGTCGGAGATCAGGTCTTCATCAAAGCAAAATATTTCCGCTTGACCCGACCATCGAAAAAGCTCTCAGAAAAGAATATTGGACCATTCGACATCATCGCTCGTCCCGGCACCCACTCCTTCACCATCCATCTTCTGGACGCTATGTGATCCATGCACCCCGTATTCCATGTCTCTCAGTTAGAACCCGCAACTCCAAACACCATTCCTAATCGCATCCAACCTCCTCCGCCTCCGGTATTAGTTGACGGAGAACCGGAATACGAAATCTCCGAAATCCTGGACTCCAAGATTGACCGCCGGAGACGTCACTGCCAACTACTATACTTAGTACGTTAGGCCGGATACGAGGGGACAGACGAAGAAACTTCCTGGATACTCGCAACCGAACTCGGAAATGTGCCGGAACTTCTATCGGATTTCCACTCGGCATATCCGGATAAGCTGGGACCAACTTCTCACAAAGAGTAAAAAAGGACATGCATATATGTACATTATTTAGGCGTCCGACATCCGGACTTCGGATCCGACGACCTAAGAGTTCATCTCCATGTCTCCGCCAGATCCGCCGGCCTCCTTTTCCGCCTCCTCCCCATTTTCCTCCTCTGGAGCATCTTCCACATGCATCCGGAAACCGTTCCTCAGACTCTCCATGAAGAGAGCCTGAA